CCAGCCCCCTGAGCATCTTTGTGGCCTCCTCTGGACCCGCTCGAGCAGGTCCAGGTGTTCCCTGTGCTGAGGAATCCAGAGCTGAACACAGCTTGTCCTATTTTTGAGATCAGGATTCTGGACTTTCACAACACTGTCTCCGTCAAAGTCAACAGGGCCACGGGGTGCTGGGACAGACTGCGAACCATGCTGCTTCCCTGCCTGCAGCAGCAGGGAACCCCAGCCTGCCAGCCAGCCCTCACATGCACGTTACCTTCTGAAGTTCGGTCTGCAGCCTTCAACATATCAAGGACAACTTCTCTCAGCTCCTGGAGCGGCTGCAGGAAAAGCAGAATGCGGGTCAAGGCAGGCCTGACTTGGGAACAGAGGCTGGAGTTACAACTGAATAGGAGAAAAGGGGTTTGCTGCATCATGACACCCTGTGCTGGAGACGGTGGCAAAATGCCGCAGAATTCCCCTTGTCCAAGCGAGCTCCGCCAGCCCGTGGGCACGGCTGGGCAGGCGTCCATCCTGCCCAGGTAAATCCCACCAGATGCTGCAGTTGTGCTGCCCGGAGCAGCTGTCACTGCTTCCAGCTACAGCTGCGACACGGCGCAGGGTGCGTGTCCTCCCTGGCCTCCCCCAGCCCCGTTCCTGCCTGCAGGGCCCTGCCTGCTTGACTGATTAAAGCCAAAGCTGTTTCTGAGAGGCAAACTGGGACCAGCAGCTCTAAAGAGCTTTTTTTATCCATGACTAGTGCTGCTAAACCCATCCCAAAATCCAACTCCCGGATCCTGAGGAAACCTGCCGGCACAGAGGCAGGGAAGGCTGGGAGCCACCGCAGAGGCGTGCCTCACTCACCACAGCGCCCGCGCAGACCGCCGCTTTGTACAACCCCGTCACGTCGAAAGGGCCGCTCCGGGCGAGCAGTTTCGCTTTGCAGATCCAGAACTTGGCAAATTTCTCTGCCTGGGGCACGTGGGACAGCACGGCAAAGAGCTCCTCTGCCTGGACACCCTACGAGAAGAAGAGCAAGGTCCTGGAGAAAGGCGCCAATTGCAAGGGCCAGAGGTGTGCGCTGCAGGGGCTGTAAGGGCAGAACCTCCCTCTCAGTGCTCTCTAGGAAAAGAAAGGTCTGATGAGTCTGGTTTTACAAGTTTCCTACGTCACTGTGGACAGATAACAGCTTTCCTGCCTGTTTTCCCCTTGGTAAAATGAGTCTAGTGTTTCAGTGGGATGTCAAGGGACAGACTCTCCAGTGTTGGCACTAACAGAGCCACTAAACCCCAGAGCAGGGCTAGTGGTCAGCATTCCCAGAGGGGATACCTCAGAGCAGCTGTGAAGTCCCCCAGGGACGTACCTCAAGCTGGCTCGATCAGCCCGGGCTGCTGCCGCAGA